TGACGTGTTCCCTAAATAAGGGCTGATCTTGGTACTAGAGACGATTGTGGATTCTCGGCACACCCTAGACTGCACTTGGCAATCTTCAGTGCTGAGGCGAAAACCAAGTGCTAAAGCCTCGATGGGGCTTGGGGATTAGCATTACCCCAAACCCTAAACTCCTAAACCCTAAACGCCAAACCTGTAAACCCTAAACCCCTAAACCCCAGGCGCTTCGAAATTCGACGTGGCAAAGCTCACTGAGTCGGTCAGGGCGTATAAGCTTGCAGCTGCAGGATGAATTTGAGGATTTGAAGGGCTGTCACTAGCAGAACGATTAGCAGAAACATTGCCAGTACGATTAATGCCATTGGTAGTACTACGAGCATGGTTGCTGCGAGTATCACTTAACGAGACCTTGACTCCATCACCCTACACAGAGGTTGCCCAACGCCCCGAGAATAAGCAATCTAGCTTCAATTCAGCGCCCGTCTTTGCGCAAGAGGATTGAGCTCTCTGCGCAAGGTTCAGGATGAACAGGCTTCTTTCCAAGACAAACAGTGAAGGATAAGGAAGAGAAGAATACTGGCGGCAATAATTGCAACTAAGAACCAGGCCCTAAAGCACTCAGTCCAAACCCGAAGGCAAGATCATTTTTAAGGGGCCCTAAACCCGAAAATCCTAACCCGGAAGCCCTAAACCCCAAACCACCGACTTGGGCCCTAGCGGCCCGCGGCGGGCCCGGGGCGCTCGACCGTGGCCACCTGAGCTACTGTCAGGGGCTGCTGGCTTTCGAGGGTTAGGGATTTAATGTAGGGGCCGTAATAATTAGGATAAGGTTGTGGGGTTCACTATACTATAATAAGGAACTCCCAAAATAGTAATGGTAATTATTTAGGCCCCCTATGTTAGTGGTTTAGGGTTTCGGGTTTCGGGCTTAGGAGTTTCAATGCAGAGAGCCCAATACCCCTTAGTTAGGGCATATACTTAAGTTAAAGGGCTCAATATTGCGCTTTAAGGCATCTTCCTCAAGTAAGGGGTATTGGGCTCTTTGGGGGCTTTGGGCAGTTTCTGGGTTCAGGACTCCGGGCCTTGGGGCTTTCGGGGCTTTGGGCTTTCGGGGTTTAGGTTAGGGGTTGAGGAGTTTAGGGTTTAGAGTGCCGGGGTTTAGGGTTTTAGGGGTTAAGGTTTAGGGTTTAGGGGGTTGGGGGTTTTGGGGTTTTGCATTTCTACAGTCAACTCCCTTTTCTGCCTGCTCTACTAAGTTTTTTAAGTTTCAGTGCTGAGGTTCCAAATTTCAGAAAAATATATTTAAAATCATCCAGAATTCTCCTTGGCCGGCGGTTGAGGCTTCTGGGCTTTGGAGCCGCTGCTCCTTGTCACGTCTTGTTGTTCGTCATGCGGGCGCTTCCCCAAAGAAAAGAGCCATCCAAAGTTGAGGGTTTGGGGTTTAGGGTTTAGGGTGACGATCCAAGCAAAGCTTCGGACTGGAACAAAAAGGCAACTCGACGCTGAAACCTTACAATCCTCATCCCCGATCCTGCATATGTGAAAGTGCCTGTCTTCTGAGTTCGGAGCCTTTTGGGCCTCCAGTTTCAGCTCGATTACATATCCGAAAGATAGCCATACTTAAAACCAAAGTAGCAGAACAAGATCAATAAGGGAATTGTCCTTGAAGCCATAGTATGGGTCCTGAGTCTTGCTCATCCTTAACTAGAGTTTAGGCTGTAGGGTTTGAGGGTTAGGGTATAAAGGATCTTCCGTCAATTATCGCAGGAACCCTCAAAACTCTTAGCGCGCTAGGATAGCACAGGATCCAGGCCCCGTGCCAGCGACGATTTCCGAGACTTCCCGGCCCGCCACCAGAAGCAACGCCTCTCACGCCCATTTCTTTCTACATCATATGTGAAAGCTTAGAGCTTACACACTACACATACAAAGAGCCTTGTTGATATACATATGGTTGTATAACACACACACCTATATATATATATACATGTGCATAAGAAAATGGATACGTGAATGAATAAAAAATAAATAAATGAAGAATAAGTAAATAAATAAACAAAAAACAAATAAATAGACAAAAAATAAATAAATGAATACATACATAC